AGAGACAGAGAGAGAGAGAGAGACAGAGAGAGAGAGAGAGAGACAGAGAGAGAGAGAGACAGAAAGAGAGAGAGAGAGAGAGAGAGAGAGAGAGACAGAGAGAGAGAGAGAGACAGAGAGAGAGAGAGAGAGACAGAAAGAGAGAGACAGAGAGAGAGAGAGAGACAGAGAGAGACAGAGAGAGAGAGAGAGAGAGAGAGAGACAGAGAGACAGAGAGAGAGAGACAGAGAGACAGAGAGAGAGAGACAGAGAGAGAGAGAGAGAGAGAGAGAGAGAGGTGGGCGGTGGGACCAGTAAGAGGCTAACACTGCATGAATGAAACTACCTGTTTACCTGGAGTTTAAACTGCGAGCTTTATCTGTATGCTACTGCTCAGGGACACGCTGAACATTTTATCTACCGCTGCTAACAAACACGATCAACACATTATTTTGTGCAACAACAATGAAGGCTAACAACGCTAGCTGGTCCAAGCTGTTGTTTCGGTGCTAAAGCTAAGCTACCATGGTGGAGCTCTCCAATGGTCTCCACGCCACATATCTATCAGCACTTCAAAAAACAAACCGAAATGTTACCTTCTTGAAATTTAGGTTTCGGGTCCTGTTTCGGCGCCATTCACGGATTAAACTATCAAAATATGGGGAAAATCGCTAGCTCCCATTCCAGTCTGAAACGGCGCCGCTATCTAAAGACGTCATAATCGTTGTGACGCAATTTTGGCGCGACCGAAAAGATTGCTGAATGAGACAAACGAGTCGCCTTTTTTTTTTTCTCAGACCACGCCCTCCGTACGCACCACGTTCATGACGTCAGCAGAGAGCCTGCATCGGTCGACGCTGGTTTACGGAACAGGTGCGTCACCCCGTGCAAAGAAAAAAAGAAGTTTAAATGCCTAAAAATAGTATCAATCATGTTAATAGAATAGAATTACTTTATTGATCAAAAAACTGGGAAATTGTGGCGTTACAGCAGCAGGTTGTCCAAACACACAATATGAGCAAAAAACACAATATTAGGAAATTTAAGCACAATATAATATTAAATAATAAATAATAATAAAATAGTAAAGCTTCCATTTTAATCAGGAACTAATTAATTCAACATTTATTTATACTCGAAAGATCATTAAGGGGCAACCCTCATTTAATGACATCGAGTCATTACAGAATTAATTAAAAGAAAGACAACAAATCATTAAAAAACAGAAGAATGATAAATACAAAACTATTAAAATCAACAAATTTGGGGTTTCTAAGAAGCTAAGACAATAAGTACCAGAGAGTGTAGGAGAAAAAAAAAGTCTAAAATATACTAAAATAATTAAGCGAGTAAAAAACATATACTGTAAATATTACAAAACTGCAATAAAAAATTGTAAATTTTCAGTTTTGTAAATATTTTTGTAAATATTGTAAAACAGTTTTGTAAATATTTTGTAGCAGTTTTGTAAATATTACAAAACTGCAATAAATAATACTTATGTAGAACAGTTACAAACAGAGGTTTAAAATTAGGTTTCTAAAATGCAAAAAAGGTAAAAGTTAATTTCCCTCAACAAGATGCCGTATGTTGTTCCAAGAGTCCGGTGCAGAATAAGATAATGCAGATTTCCCCAGTTCTGATGACTCGAGGAACATTCAACAACAACCGCTTTGAGGAACGTGTCTCGTAATGTCCAGTCGAAAGATGTATGAGTTCTGTTAAGAATGAGGTTAATTTTTCTGTGAAAGCTTTAGAAATAAAAAGGTGCCAGTGCATATCACATCTTTCTGTGAGAGAGGACCACCCAACCTCTGATGTGTATCATAGCGGGTCACCGGGAATAAATCTTAACACAGAATGGTAGACGGAGTGGAGACGTTTGAGCGTTGTGGCAGGTGCATGCCTATAGATGACATCACCATAGTCCAAGACTGACATAAAAACAGACTCCACAACAGACACTTCCTACAGAACATTGGAAAAACTATTTGATTTCTGTAGCAATAACATTTTTTTTGCCTGACTCTTCTTATAGGATTATTAATGTGAAAGTAAAATGTCAGTTTTTCATCAATCCACATGCCCAGATATTTATATTCTGTGACTCTCTCAATCATTAGCCCATTCCTGGCAACAATCTTGGTATCGCTTTCGTTCACTTATGTAGCTCTCGAGAAAAGCATCAGTTTGGTTCTGTCAGCATTAAGTACTAGTCGTGGGTCATTTAGGGTGCAGTACATTAAAAGACTGCTGCAAAGGTATGGCTGAAAGATGTACAGAGTCAGCCGCACAGTATAGAACTTTGTCATCAGCATATAGATGGGCATCACAGTTTGATGAAGACGATTCTAATAAACGATTCTCCTGTATTGAAAACGGTACATGTTTTGGATTTTAAAGTGTTAAATGATAAGATGTTAAAAAAGAAATGCAACTGAATTTTTTTTTTCTTAAACTGTGAAGTGATTTATGAGTCTGGCACAAGTTATTTATACGGACAACTTGAGGTGAGTTTGTCCCAAAGCTTTCTGCTGCTATCATCCCCTCCACCTTAACAAAGGGTACTTCATTCAGCTGTGGACGTGACGTCACTCTGTCCGAGGCGGAGTGAGTGTGGAGTAGTTTGAGTAAATCCCTGAGGAGAAAATTGTAGGGTTTGTATGTATGATTAAAAGTAACTGGCTAGAAAACTAACAATATTACCTCTGAGATTAGTTTTACTCAATTCTGGATGCAAATGTGTGAAATATGTCATAAGAGGCAGGAAATATTAAAACGACTAAAAAAAGACCAGGGACATCTGGATCTAGGAAACCATTTAAGTTTACTTTCAGCAGGACAAGTACCCAGTTCGAAGTCAATTTAAATGATCTGATCAATGCTGATGTGGTACACTAGGAAAGAGAAAAAGAAAAAAGAAAAAGAAGAGTTTGCAAAAATTTTGCAAGGGAATGCTTAAGTACTTACAGGGTACCGAAAAGTATTGCGCAAGAATACAAAAACATCTCAACCTAAAGCAAAAGTACTGGGAAGAAACATAAAAGTATAAAAGGAACATGGGTACAGTACGTCTCTGTGAAGTTCCTTAGTATTTAGTCAAAACAAGCACAAACCTGAGATAAACAGCTGCTAAAGGAGAGCCGGTGTAAGAAGCACATACTGTATAAAGTTCCCTCCTGATTTTGCCCTGATTGCTGTGCTCTGAGGTAACCCAACCAGTCTGTCGCTGAAACACAAGTCATTTCTGAAATGATTGATTTGAGAGATACATCACAGGGCAAAAGCTACAAAACAAGATCAAAGCTTCAGCTGAGGAAGAACAAATCCATCTTCTCAAGACTGAGTGTAACAATACCCTACCACATTAGTATCTACAGTTCACAAGCGGTAACTGGCTTGAGAGGTATAGTCTTTCATCCATACATTATGTAAGCCAAAAGTTAAGAGCTTGGGATTTCAATCAGAGGGGATCCAACTTCTTATTTTTTGATAATGATCCTAGTGCCTCAAATCAGACTCTCTTCCAGTCACAGCCTGACAAGAGCGCATATTATTCCCCAAAATAAAAAGAAGTATAAAGCAGGTGAGAGTTCTCACTAATCCAGGGAATCATCAACGACTGGATGTCTTCACCTAGGCCAGTAATAATCCGACAACCAGCAGATATTGTACATTTATATTTGCCAGTGCTTTAGGCTTGGACGATCTAAAAGTGTTGAAAGCCAAACTGAGTGAACTGCTCACAGAAGAACACATACATATTGATCAAGACTGTCTTTTGATCAACTACAAGATACACTTTCTTATATCTTGTTTTATTCTTAGAAATATCAAACAGCACAGTAGACCTTGAAGCGGTTCAAAATGCTCAAAGCCTCTATTGAGTTATTGACATCATCTGATAGTAAAACGGACAGAGGAACAGAAAATGTTACAATGCATGTCAAGCAACAATGACATCTTTAAATAGCATTAATTATATAATTACAAAAGAAAGATCACATACAGTGACAGCAATGCATATCCACAAATCAAACAAATGCTGAAATATATATGATAATAAATAATCCTAATTATAAGCACAAGTCCAGAAAAAAAAAGGGAGGGGAGGCGTTCGTATTAACTTCAATTGTTTTCACTTCAGGGCAAAATGTGTTTGGTGATCCGGTCAGAGATCAAGCTATCACAGTTCACTTAGAGGCTGTTGCAAATAGGCCACACTTTAACAAATAAAAAGCTACTCACTAAGGAACAGCATAGGACTTAAATAACAAGCTTTCAGGTCATTTGCAGACATGCTAAGCTGAAAACTATTCTTTAAGCGTTTACTGCAACTGTGAATGTTTCACTGCTCCACTCAGCGTTTAAAGTAAATCAAACAAAGTCATGATGAATTTTTTAATCCATATGCACCCACTTAACAATTCTCAGCCTTTCAGTTAGAGATTTACCAAAAGTGGACCAGAAACTAGCCTTGTCGCGAAAATGGAAGAGAATTTCTTGGATGACTTCTAGCCACTGAACTTTCATCTTTAGGCGTAACTTTTCAAATGAGACATCTGTAGTTTAAAAGAAAATGTCACTATATGGCATTTGTTAGATGCACATACAAGGTCTGCTTGTGTGTAATTCATTCACAATGAACTGAAAAAGCCTGGCATTACAACACTGATACATTCCCAATTCAGATGTATTTTCCAGTACAGTGTAAACTGTACAATATAGTTCATATTCAATTTGATTGGACTGAAAAATGCTTAGAGTGCAGAGTTATGACAACAGAAGGATCTAGCGTTTGCTTCTGGTATTTCTAGTGGCAACAGTTCCGAGAGGCAAAGGGAATGCTTCTTTAAAAAAACAGCATACATCAAACATAACTTACACTATAAATAATTCTTTCAAATAATATGACCACAGCATGAATGTCCTACAGAAAATCTACAGTGATGCCAAAAATCACTTGATCTTTCTGCTGTCAAAAATTGGACGAAAATGGTGCCATTTAGAAAATAAGTGAAACACATGGTCCTGTTTTGCTGTCTCTTGCCATTTGTATAAGTTACTATTACAATGCCCATTTTCTTTATATTCTAAAGATAATGTTCCATGAGGTGTCACCTCATTGGGTGCTGTGCACATAATAGTTGACTGAAATAATGCCATTGACATGAAATATTAAACAAAACTGTAAAAACCAGGTACAAAAGGTACAATATAATCGAAGGACCACATGAAGAGGTGTGAAAAAGTCTTCAGTCTTCACAGAAAAATATCAACTGAAGTAACTCACTGGACATGAAGCGTCCTAAGTTTATATACATATGATAAGTAAAATTGAAAATAGATTTTCCTCTCTGTACATAGCACTGTATTCTTTCTTCTTCCTCTTCCTTATTTACAAAGAGCTCCTGTGTCGAGGTCTCCCTTGTCATTCAGTTCTGTGTGGATCTAGTCAAGAGAGATAACGTCAGACACGGATCCATAAATGGCAGCTGCTGCAGCTTCCACCGAGGACCGCGACAATCCTGAGATGGAGTGGCTGTCTCTGTCTTTGTCCCGATCCCGTAGACTGCTGGACGAAACCAAACTACTGGTGCTGCCGCTGTTGCTGCCTCCGTTGGTGGCTGCCAGCGTGCTGCTCCCAGGGGTCCCCGGCTGCTCCCTCAACATCTGAGAGGAGCCGTACGGCAGGAAGCGGTTGAGGAGCAGGTCAGGGTCCTCTGACGCTGAAGCAGCTGCGGCGGCAGCCATCACCATGTTGTAATGCTGAAAAGAAAGAAAAGAGGAACCTTCATCACCACAACCAGACGTAAACACACTGCAGTATGACGCTGCTTTAAGATCAGTTCGCTGAGGTCATGTACCTGATGATTGTCGCCTTGGAGGAAGGAGAAGAAGTTTAAATCTGTAAGAGAATGAGAAGGCTCAGTCCACTTCCTTTGTTCTGGATTTCAATATACAATTCCATTTTTCCACAAACACACATTTTTCACGTTCATTTGGATTTTGTCAAGTCTGCCTGATTTTAAAGCTTACATGTAAGGCTGTCACGGTAACTGCAAATAAATATTTACCACAGTACTGATTGTCACTGCGTTGTTGTTAAGAAAAGAATCAAATTAATTAAAGCCACAATCAAAAAACATCTTGCGGGCCAGATATTAATGCTGGTGGGCTAGTTGCCGACCCCTGATCACAAACAAATTAGTTTAATAAATAAAAAGAAGAGGTGGAGCGATAATCCCACATACCACGGTGTGAATTCCTTTACCAGGAAAGCCGTATTTACATGACATTAAGGACAATGAACGAATGACTGCTGTAGTAATATCACCTGATATTTCCCTCTCAACTTTCATTTACTATCATTACGGGCATTGTAGCCTCGTGTGTTTTATTCATTGGTTCTTTGTTGTCTCTATCCGTCTCTTCCTTTCTGCTTCTCCCTCTATCCCACTTTCCAAGCCCAAACACGACCTCGATGTTAAAACTGTCACTGCCATTTCTGTAAATGTTGCCCAAGTGCTTTACTCATGTTGGATTAATGTTGGGTCTCTGTAAATATGTAATAAAGAGTAAGTTAGGACTGCATGTTTTTGAAAAGGGAGATAACATTTGTTAAGAATTGACTCCA